AGAAGGATTTAGAAACGCAGTAAGGCCCGTGGGTATCTCGACAATAATGCTGTTGTGTGCACGATCCTCGGCCAAAGATTCGGGGTCGATGTTGTCCAGACCAAACCCTGGGAAGCTGAAGACGGAAGCCCCATCGTCCTCTTCAATGCTTAGCATGACAGCTTCCGAGGTATCAGGCCGAATGCTCTCAAGGGGAAATGGTGGGGTGTAGAATTGGCTCGAAAAGGCTACAGACGAGTGGTGACTGGCGTCTCGGAAGTCGCCAATGGCACTATAAAAGGCGGAGTGGCGACCAGTCGACGTAGAAACATCCCGCTGGTGTTGCGATCCTCGTTTCATGGCTTCAGGGCTGTCGGGGTACAACATGTCTGATTGCCTGGATTTTGCCCGCGATCTCACGGAACTCCGTGGCCTGACCACACTGCTGCTGCTCGAGGTAGTGGTCGTGGACAAGAACGAACTTTTGTGACGAAGGCGTTGGGAGCGAGTGAAAGTCGATCGATTGTCAGAGGATCGTTGGTCCCCCTCAGCACCTTCAAAAACAGTTGGGTGAGGAACTGGCGGAAAACCCTGCGCAGGCGGATCAAGCTGATCCGGAAGCGTCTCCTCCAGAAGGCTGGGCAGAAGCAGAAACTCAGTGCGTCCAGTCCGTTGATCCTCGCGACGGATGAGCTCCTGTTGCAACTTGCGCTCTTCGGAAAAGTGAAGCTTTCTTCCAATAACTGCCACACGGATAGAGGCTTGGAAGAAGGCGTCAGTTTCGACGCTCTGCTGGGATTTCCATTTATGCCTCATAGCCGATTCCGAGTTGACACACGAAATCTGAAGGTCCGGAAGCATGATGTCTGCTCGCCTGGAGTAATGCGTGCGCGCCCAGTCGTTGAACTTGACATCAAGTGTACCAGTCGAGAAGAGAAAAGCTGCTTCGTCTACATGACACCAAACTCTAACAGACTCAACAGCCACCCGCAAAAAGGTTACGTCGTATACAATGATGGACGATAGCGGAATCAAAGCGTTCTCGTCATCGTCAAATTCGAACGCAAATGCCTTCCCTGCGCTCATCAGGGCTGCTAAGAAATCGGTAGAGCATTCTCCTGAAATCGTACCCACGGAGATATCCCAGTTGCAAAGGTACGTTGGCTCGGCTGGGGGAAGACCAAAAAGGCGATGGCCAAATATTGACAAGCCGTCAATGAACAACTGCGTGCTAGACACAGCACTAATGGGTGTTTCCATGCCCGACTCTGCGCTCCCGAGGGAAAGGTTGAGAGGGTTGAGGTTGACCTGCAAGTCCATATAGTAGTTTGTGAATCGGAGATCTAGAGAGAGGCCGGCGGTTTCGATCTGAACGTGTCGCTGGCTGGAATACAAGTTTGCAGGCAGTAGAATACGGAGATCATCGATCTTGACACCTAGAATCACGTCCAGGTCGTTGGTCTTCTTGGGTGGCGGGCGATTGGCCAGTTCCGCGTCGGGGTTGCGTTCTTTCAGTCGTAAAAGGTCCTGGTACTCCTCGAGTGTTTTAAAATGAATATCGTCCCCAAGATAGTTATCCTTTAGTTTCATAACGTAACGTATAATAAACCCGTACAGCGTAGCTGTGGGCGACTGAAGGCCGAGGTTTAGCTCCAGGATGTCAATGTTAGATGGTGCCGTCGTTGCGTTGTAATGGTACTTTCCGTCGGCCTCGAAGTTTTCGCCGTGTGCTATCTCTTTTGACGTTATAAATGTGCCTTGGGTGTTCCAAGGTGGGACGTGGAGCCACAGAGAAAAAATCTCGGCTCCAAGCGCAAACGATACGGCATTCATGCTCGGGCGAAACTTATCGATCGGAATGCAGACGTTTGCCACGAGAGACGGGCTTTTGGCCACGATGTAGGCGTTATCCTCAAGATCAGTAGGATTGTTGATGATGTTTCCGTCATTGACGTTCAGGTACAGCGTTACGTTGCGTAGGTCAAGGTTGAGGTAGTATCTGAAGGGCGTGAAGACCAGATACTCGGCTGGTGGTCCCGAGGCCCAATCATCGACCAAGTCTATCAAGAGGAAAACGTGGTCCCGTAGTATGAACAGTTGCATGTCCTCGGAGATGACATTGAAGTACCATGACCTTAGCGAGTTCCATTTGAGAGGACTTGAAAGGTCACAAGATATGCGTTGTGGTCCTGAGCGCCAGAGAAGCTCGTGATTGACGCTGGTCGCGAGTTTAGTGCTAGGCAAGTCGACATCAAGCTTCATCTGGTATCCCGTTGTGCTAGCAAGCATATCCATGGTAAAGGAAATCGTGGCGTTGCCGGGTACAATCAGATCAAGCCAGCCACCCGGCCGGATGGGCGCAGCGTCGGTCTTGCTGTTCTTCTTTGCGCGGTTCCTTTGCTTCCGCTTCTGTGGAGGCGACGGAGACTTCATGGGGGGTTCTTTGCCCTTCCATTTCCAGTTCTTAGAGTCTTCTCGGATGGGTATCCGAAGCGTCACCTCGTCATCTAACTCGACGAATAATTTAAACTGAGTAGGAACTCGATATTCACCCTCGGCTAAGGGGGCCGCAGGAACTGCATCCTTGCACAAGCTGGGAACGAATACGCGCTGGAGGTCCGCTCTCTGACGATCGGCCCAGGGTCCGTAGTTTACCACACCGCCCTTGATGGCTAGAATCATGCCCCATGCGGGAGCTTCGTCACCGTTGATGTACGTCGCTGTATTCTCGTCAGAACGACTGCTAGCCGCTTCAGCTGTCACTTTGCCCACAACATCCCAGTATATGGTCAGTGTTGCCTCCGGGCTGTCCACTACGGTGGACTCGGCAGCATATTCAACACCTGCCCACCGTAGCCTTGAGTCCTGCTCATCCTCGTCCAAGTAGCGCGCCAGACCTTGCCAGTGGTTGGACCCCGGTATTTGTGAGATGGCGGTGGTGAGTGGACTTCGCGAGCCTAAGGAGAAGGATTCCACAGATTTCCTCCAGTATGGTACGAGGTTTCGCAGTGTTCCAAGTGCGCGGCGCCGGTGTCGTCGGAAAAAAGAGGTCTTGTACGTTGGGCTGGGTTCCTGCGCAACCATCTTCTCGCGGTTTGCCCTCGTCGCCTGGTCCTCCTTAAATTCCTCGTTCTCCCTCATTTCTACGATCGGATGCTGGAACTTGATCTTGAAAATCTGCCTGTATGGATCGGGAGTGGACGTCTTTGAGGCATCTATCTCTCCCGACAGGCCATCGGCCTTAACAATCAAGATGGCCTTGGTGTTGTCGTTTCCCATAACCACAGCCGCTTTCTGGCACGTCACAAAGATTGGGAATAGCTGCAGAAGAAATGGCAGATCGGAGTCCGACTGGACAGCATCATCGCTCTCCTCTGGTGCATCAGAAGGTGTGCTCGGCTTGCTGGCCGATGATCTCCGGCGGCCGAGGGTATTTCCTAGTCTTGACAGCAGAGCGGCGCCAGAACTCTCCTTTTCATGTGCCGAAGAGTCTTGAGACGGATCTGACTTTTCAGAGACCCTCTGCCCTCGGTTTCTTAGAGAAGCGTTATCGTCTTTTGACTCAAAGCCCGTCGTCGCATTCTCGGCGGTCGCCGTAGGTTCCTTGAGTCCAGCTAACACGCTGTCGTAGGCCGGACTTCTGTTGTATATGAACCATTCCAACCCAACCAAAGACATGGTCACACGGCAGGGCAAGTTCGAGTGCCTCCCGTTCGTAGCCCCAGACGCTTGCTCAGCTTGCTGTTGTGCCGAGGCCTTGATGTCCACTTCCCGCACCCGCCGCAGCCAGTAGCGCCATGTAACATAGCCATGCTGCACAAGGAACGTTTCGTTGTTGCCGTGATATCGCAAGCCGGTGAAGAATATACGTCCACCAAGCAGAGACACTTGAAGGGCCTGTATGTCGATGTAGACGCGGTAACGATGCCATGTGTACGTTCGTATGCCCCATGACAATAGTGACCCAAAGGCTCGGTTGAAGTATAGGAGGAAGAAGACGGCACTGCACAGGGTAAGCTAAGGAACTGGAAAGGTTGACGTCGGGTTACGTACAGAGCACCGCAGACAATGAGGAAGGCCAGGAAGGTGCTACATGAAGCAAGCGGTCAGCAAAGGCAAGGCACGCGAGGCTCGGACAGCGTAAATTACCCATTGAAATTCGGCGTTTCCGTCGGGGTTGGGTTGGGTTCCCCGTCGGCCGGCATGATGTTGGTCGAGGTTGTCGCACGATGCCTCAACTACGTCAGGCCGAAGCTGCTAACATCAAGGTCGAGGCTGTGCCAGTCCACCCACTTCCATGTCTCGAGGATTCTTGTTCGTCGCTCGGTATCCCGGGGGTGACGGTGGTCGGTCAGATCTTTGGAACGCGTACAATGCTAGCAATCCACGATGTGTGTCATTGCTGGGTGGGTCGTTGGAGTTGAAAAACGTCTCGCAGTCGTGAAAACGGGAGGTCGGGGAGCGCGTAGGTTGTTGAATTGGGCAAGATGCAGATGCAGATGCAGTTGAGGATGGATCACAAGCCAACGGTTAATTAAACTACTGGCCTACGTAAGGTAGGTAGGCACTTTAACTAGCAGTCGCACTCGATGTCGCGCCGAGCGTCGCCAATCACGAGGGCCGGGTGTCTCGCGCTAATGACAGCCCGCCCCATCGAGCGTGTCCCTGGGCTGGTCGTAGCTTCCATGGCCCAGGCCGTCAACCGCAGTGTGCCATCCATAGTGGACCGCGGACAGCGAGCAGATGCCAGATGGAAGGTCGCTGTAGTGCTACCCCACATTCTCAAGCACGCTGAAACTGAGCTTCAGGGGGGAAGCTGCCGGCATGGACTTCACTGACATTCAATGCATACGAATAGGTACCTGGGTAGGTGCCTAGGCACTGATTGGACGGAACGCCGCCCGCGGGACTCCCTGATCCCTTGTCTCGATTACGAGCTTTGCGTGTGCCGCCCATACCTAATTACGTACATACCAGACTTGAGCACCTCAGTCACGAGCAGCTCGCTGCATCCCACAGCACGGGCATCGTCATCCCTCCTTCACCTTTCAACGCATGCTCTCGCCCCTCACCCTCCGACACTGCCACTTTGACCAAAGCTTGACTTTCTTTGGAATCGCTGGTCTGTCTTTCCTCACGATCCATTACGACCAGCTCCTCCGATAGCTATGATCTAGGTGACATTCCGCGAACAAGTTCCCACATTCTTCGCCTCGTACCGCGCCGCAGTTACGATGGCGGGCGGCACTGGCGAGAAGCTCACCACGGCGACCATCATCGTCGCTGGCGTCGCCGCTTTAGTAGCCACGTTCCTGTCAGCTATGTAAGTAGTCGCTGTAAATTTGGAGCACATGCGACTCAGGCTAACGTGCAGCTCGCAGCTCCATCTTCCTCCAGGCGTACGTCGTTTCTCTCTCTCTCGCTCGCTCTGCCGACTGCGACTAATAACGATGTAGGAAAAACTATCGAAAGCCACTTCTCCAGAGATATGTCGTTCGAATCTTGCTCATGTATGTTTGCTAGCTTGGAGCATACAACGGGGGTGAAACTGACTATCTTCAGGGTTCCCATATACTCGATCGCCTCGTGGACAAGTATGATCTCGATAAGGGCTGCCGCGTTTCTTGACCCCATTCGAGACATCTATGAGGTAGGCTATCCTGCCCTTTCTTCTAGGCCGCGGATTTTAACAATGTCAGGCCTTCACAATCTATACCTTCTTCCAACTCCTTATCAATTACCTTGGCGGAGAACGAGCCCTGATCGTCATGACCCATGGCCGAGAACCAGTTTCCCATCTGTGGCCTATGAACCACGTCCTGCCGCGTGTCGACATATCTGACCCCCATACATTTCTGGCAATCAAGCGTGGCATTCTTCAGTACGCGTGGCTCAAACCTATTTTAGCGCTGGCTGCCGTCATCATGAAGGCCACCGGAACTTACCAAGAGGGCTACATTGGCGTGGAGTCGGGCTACCTATGGAGCGGTATCATCTACAACATCAGCGTGACAGTGAGCTTGTACTCCCTTGGGCTGTTCTGGGTCTGCATGCACAACGACCTTCTGCCCTTCCGCCCGGTGCCTAAGTTCTTGTGCATCAAGCTCATCATCTTCGCCTCGTATTGGCAAGGTTTTTTCCTGTCTATTCTCGTCTGGCTGGGGGCCATTCCAGACAGCGTCGAGGGCTATAGTCCCGACAATTTGGCCGCTGCAATTCAAGATGCGCTGATCTGTATCGAGATGCCGGCTTTCGCCATTGCTCACTGGTATGCCTTCTCGTGGCACGATTTTGCCGACAACAGGATATCGTCTGCGAGGATGCCTGTCAAGTTCGCCATGCGCGATGCGTTCGGCGTCAGGGATCTCATCGAAGACTCCAAAGAGACTTTTACCGGTGACAAGTACGGGTATCGGTTTTTTGACTCGGGTGATAAAATTATGGCACACGAGGATTCGCGTGCCAGACTGGGGAGACTCGATGAAGGCATGCGTTACACGAGGGGCGGCAAAGCGAAGTACTGGATCCCGACACCTGGTCAGGTGGACCGTCAGACAAATCGTGACATTAATGAGCGAGATCCCTTACTTCAGGGAACCGCGGGCGGCCCGAGTGAAGAGTACAACTACGCCAACGGTACCTTCAACGAAGATCTCGCCAATGACCCCCAGATAGATCCCGATGACGAGCAGCTCTTTGACAAGGCACGCGAGCTTGAGTTTGGCGATTGGAATGTGAGTAAAATAAAAAAAAACCGTCTGGGCGTGGGTTCCATGGCTGACGATATTAAGTATCCCGTCATCACCGCAAATGAGCCACTGAGCAAGCGGTATATGTCCTCCCAGGGTAGCCTTGGTTTCCATTCTGAACCACGATCGACGGTCGAACGTCTGCGGGTGTCGCCACGAAATAGCGAGCCGGCCGTCGTAGCCAGCAAGAAGAAGAAGAAGCAGAAGAAAGTTGCAGGTGAGCCTCTAGGCTCGTCATCATCCCCAGACCGTACCGAGTCAGGATCCTCGTCTAAGCGACAGAGCCCGGCGCCTCCGCCAGCGAAGGCACCCGCCAAGGCTGATGAGGTATCTGAGACACGTCCAAGCGCTCAAAAGGAATATAATCATCCAGAAGAGTCCCCCCTTCTGCAAGAGGCCATGGCATCCCCATGGGCGGAAAGCGAACAAGAGGATGACTTCAACGAAAACTTCGGCGTGGGAGATGAAGACGAGTTCAAGAACGTCTGGAGCGGTGGCGCGTCGTCTCAGCCCCGCTGATGGAGTGTAAACAAGTCAACCGCTACTTTGCATATTTTGAGTTTGATACCCTTACTCCCGAGTTCTATGTTTAAGCAATACTGGCATAGCGAGGAGTTTGCGAGGAACGCGAGTGCATGCGTGTCTTGGTCACAACAGTTTACTCACCAAGTGATCTTGCCGTGGAGCATTTTAGAAACAAATAAACGGCTTAGACGGACTGTGGGTTATATACATGATGTTCTTCGATTATTGTCTCATCAAAGTTTGCTGACCGTTCCATGTGTCCGATCGCATTGCCAATCCCTCTGCCTCGTGAGGACAGTCGCATATCATAACATTTAAGAGCTTTGTTCTCTTGTTTTCGACCAGTAATCTATCTGATGATCTGCTGCTCATCCTGACGCCCCCACTGCTGGAATTGGTGTCTCAGTGCCGCGATCTTCTCTTCTTCGTCCTCCGCGCTTGCTGGACTGGGCGGCAGATCCCCCGTCGCCCACTCCTTTGGTTCAGGGCCCAGTTCGAACTCCAACGTCCCGCCCCTAGCAAAGATGTCCTCCCAAGTCACCCACGCCTTGTCCCATTGCTCCCCATTGACGCGCAGGCTCTGTACGTAGTATACGTTCTCGGAACCGCCTGTCGACGACACCTTGAGTTCGCGCCCACCGCCGAGCGAGATGGTCAGATCCGAGAACCATGGCGAGCCGATGAGAAAGGTCGTCTGGCCCGTGAGGGGGTACAGTCCAATCATGTTCCACAGCAGCCAGGATTCCATCGCGCCGGCGTCAGAGTTACCCGGAAGACCGTCAGGGGCGGGCTTATAGTATGATTTTGCGACAAAGCGGGAGCGCTCTATTGAGAGGTGCTGCTTGTTGACGAAGTTGAATAGGTACGGCGTCCCGAAAGAAGGTTCATTACCCGGGTTGAATATCGTGTTGCCAAAGGCGCCGTTACCCGAGTACTGCCCTGGCTCAAACGTCTTCTCCAACCGATCGGAGAAGCGCTGAGCCCCACCAATCAGGCTGACGAGGTGCGCGACATCATGGTGCGCGTTGAACGAGTACTCCCAGGGCGTAGCCTGGTAGTACGCCTCGGCCCAGTAACAGCCGCCGCAGTCGAGGGGATCTTGTGGCGGGAAGCTGCCATCAGCATTGCGTGGTCCCATGAAGCCGCTGAAGCCATGGGCCGTCATATTCTCGTTCCAGTGGTTGCGCCAGTTCCGGGACCGCTCTAGGTACCGCTCTGCGACGTCAAAAACGCCAAGCCCCTTGGCGACCTGGTAGATGTTGAAGTCATTCACCGAGTACTCGACAGCGCGGGTGACGGCGCGGGCAAAGCGTGGCGAGACCCAGCCAAGCTCAAGCCAGTCCGGAAGAGCGCCGCGGCCCTCCTTGGTGGAGCCGGAGCGGTCGCGCGGGTCATTGTTGGGCGGGGGCGTCACCTCACCGTTCTTGAGCATGGCTGAGAGGCCATCTTCCCAGTTGACTGCGCCACGGACTCCCTTGACGTAGGCGTCGGCAAGGACATTGTCGCTGTTGGAGCCAGCCTGAACAGCGCCGTTGTAGAAAGAGGAGCGGGCGTCCGAGACGTAGCCCTCGTGCCGCCAGATATCGATCATGGAACGGATGAACTCCTCGTAGGCCTCGGGCTGGAGGATTTGGAGAAGGGAGGTGGTGCAACGGAACTGTAAACTGTCAGAATTAGTCGATAGCAACGAATAGAAAATCCGGGGGAGGGGAACTCTGAAGCCAGGTTTACCGTATCCCAAAATGTGAAGACGTCGTCGTAGTAGGGCTCGGATGAGTTCCAGAGCGGATTCTCGCCCGTTTTGTTCGTTGGCAACAAATTCATGAAGTACAGTGCCGAGTACAGTTGATTCAACTTTAGCGTGTCCGTTTCTGATGTCTTGACTTTGGAAAGAACCTTGGTGTTCCACGCCTCACGGGTAGCCTGTCTGACGGAGGAGAGACTTTTGTCAGGAGGAATCTCCGCGTTGACGTTACTGCAAGCCTGGGAGGTCGAGATGAATGAGACCCCGACCCTCGACTTTACAGTGGTGTCTTGAAAGCTGAAGACGGCACCCAAGCGTTGCGATCTCGACTCGTAGCTTGTTGCATTCCCATAGTCGGCGAGGCCCGTTGACGTACGGTCTACGCCGAGGAATGTCTTATACGTCGCCGGACGGTCGAAGTATCCACAGAAGTAGACCTTCCACTCTTCAGCACGGTTCCAGCCCTGACTTTCGTTAATTGAGGGAGGTTTATGGCAGTGATGATTCTGCACCCACGTTGTCATAGTAGCCATAACCTGTGTAGCGAAAATCGTCTCCATCCACTACCTCAATCTTGCCTCCCAGATAGTTCTGGCCGAGGCCTTGTCCTCTGTACGATGGCAGAACATGAGAAACATCTACGATGATGTTCCCCGAGGCGCTGTCGTTTCCGGGGAAGGTGTATCGATACAGTCCCGCCTTTTCTGTAGCTCCTAGCTCAACAACAACCCCAGAGCTGAGGAAAGACTTGTAGTGGCCAACCTCTGTCTCATCTGGCTGCGCCCTGGTGTCGGTATTCTGGCTAAGAGGGTTGTCAATGACGCCCATGATGGGCATCTGGTTGACGACGCCGTATTTGGGGGCGCCGCCGGTGCCATGTTCGTGGAGCATGGAGAAGCCGATGAAGTGACCGTCGGGCAGGTAGCCGGAATAAGCGTCAACTCCATTTTCCAGGTCGGGCCCGATCTTCACCATTCCCAATGGTCGTGATACCCCTGGAAATGCGTTCCCGCCGGCCACAGTGCCGGTCTGAGAGGCGTCAGTTCACGGTAAAGTAAGAAAAAGGTCTGTGAGAAACTCACGTCTATTAGGACGTGGCTAGAGAGGTCAGCTGCCTGTGCCGTTACGGCCAAAACCATGTGCAAAAGAGTGACGCGGTGCATTTTGATGATGGATGGTTTAGTGCACACAATCACAACTCAAAGACAGAAGGACCGCAATCAATGGCTCTATACTCCTGATATGAGCGCAGCGAAATCTCCAGATGCACTTTCAAGGAAGGCCGGAAAGGTTGCACGCGGATCAAGCTGCCAGGTGGTTCTCGATTAACAATCCAAAGTAGGAAGGCAAAGAGGCGACACTGGGGTATATTATTAGACCAAAAGGACTTGGCTCTCAAGACCAGAGGCGAAAAGACGTTGCAGGAGACGCCACGAGGGAGTATTTTAGGGATCGTGAGAGGGTAAATGGGGGATTGGCAACGTGCCGGAACGAGAGATTATAACTGGACAGCATGCGCCAGAAATGGCATGACGAGTCCGGAGGGGTGTCGTCTGTGGTAGATGGTAGGAGAGCAAGGCGGAAAGTGGTGCTTAAGACATGCGCAGTGCAAGACGACTTACTGCCGGCAAGATGGCAAGCGACGCGGACCGGTAAAGTAATGTCTTGGGCTCCAAGCTTCTTGGGGGTTGGCCGTTTCGTCGGTTTAAGGGAAAAGGCCAATTTCACGGCAGAAACCATGCGCTCGGCCATTGATGTGGCTTTCGCATGCCCCAGAGATGCTAGGCTTAAGCGCCCTGGTCTCAGGGCACGGAAAAACGAAATGCATCCTGTGGCCCGGCAAGGTGGTGACAGCCTGACAGGAGAAGCGCCCCTTGCCCCAGGCGTCGTGCTTGGAGGCCTCGAGGGCCGCGACGGAATAGAATAGCCAGGACTTCTCTCGCCTCCAGGGTATCCGTTCTGTAGTTGAACAGTCGAACGTTGGAAAGTCATGGTCGACCAACGCTATTCCAGGCGTATCGGCAGGATGTCTCCAGTGCCGAGATACAGCATCATTGGAGAAAAAACGACCCCCTCTACACACCACTGTAAAATAGCTAGGTAGCTGCGGGCAGTGCGATGTTCAATTTTGAGAAAACGGCAGATGATCGACCCTCCAGCTCGGAGATATCTCGTACGGTGACATGTAAGAAGGGTACCACTCATCGACGACGCCGCCGAGACACAACGACCTTGCGTACCTTAGCTGCGGCACCCTTTACCCAGGAACAGTCGAAAACGAGCCTCTGCCGCCTGAATTGAGCTGATGCAAAGAAATGAGGGAAGGGACAGGCTTAATTAATTCCCTCTTCTTAGTGCAAAGGGGACTTCTCTCTACTAGTAGTTAATGCAAACAAAGAAACAGCCTTTGATGGGCTGTGATACTCCTGCGGGTAACCAGAGTAATGAAAGGTATTAGAAAGCAATTGATGCCCAGACAATGGCGAAACAATGCTTATGAAGGCTTACCGGAAATGCGCGCAGACGTTTATGGCAATTGGCGGCTCAGCACGCTCTGGGCTTGCCTCATCGTCCGCAGGAGGTCCGGATGGTATCATCTCCTGCTTGCAACACCTTCAATATTGTTGGTTGAATCGCAAGGAGCCACTGCAGGATGCAGAAGAAGACTTGACTGTTTGTTAGCAACGCAGTTCCGACTCTATCAAACCAACAAGGCAACACACGTATGGGAAGCGCATTCATCAACATCGGGAAGGGGGAATACAGGAAGGAAATAGGATCGGAAGTATTTTATGATCGGCGGGATGCGTTTTTGGCCCCAGATTTGCGAAGACTCTTCGTAACGGTGCTGAGATCACAACAGAACAAGTTTTCACAAGAGAATCACCTAGATTCTAGTCCATTCTTGTTCAGGGAGGAAACGTTCTCTCATATGTCGCCATGGGGAGGCTGACAAGATGGCTTGGTGGTATCATCCTTATGGTCTAATGAGCACCAAAGGACCGTACGCTGGGTTAGACTGCATGTTTACCTCATCTCACACCATGACAGCAGGTGTAGCCGAGATCCCCTATAGGTGGGGTATTTTCACGTGACAAGCAGTACCTGCTCCGCCCCACCATATAATTTATCCGACATGGGAAGCGGTGTGAGAATTTTGTCAGTCTCAACGTCGGTGAGCCGTGGCAGAATCAGTGAATCGCATCGCTTTGCCCAGGTCCAGCCAAGGTAATTGTTCTTTGTCGCCCGCTGGTATAAGCCTGGCGAGGCAATTTTTGGCCTGTGGTGCCTTCTAACTGCTCCAGACTCATCGACTCTACTACCTGAAATCACAGAGCGCTGGTCCGTCACCAATCCCTCCCCAAGCGACGCCCAGGGCAGAATTTCTTGGGCGGTCACTGCGACTCTGCAGCACGTATCTCGACTATTGAGCCCTTAGCCGTTCACCATAGAAGCCCGGCTTCGGAAGGAA